GTGTTTGTGTGTTTGTGAGTTTGTGTGTTTGTGTGTTTGTGAGTTTGTGTGTTTTTGTGTGTTTGTGTGTTTGTGTGTTTGTGTGTTTGTGTGTTTGTGTGTTTGTGTGTTTGTGTGTTTGTGTGTTTGTGTGTTTGTGTGTTTGTGTGTTTGTGTGTTTGTGTGTTTGTGTGTTTGTGTGTTTGTGTGTTTGTGTGTTTGTGTGTTTGTGTGTTTGTGTGTTTGTGTGTTTTGAGTGTTTGTGTGTTGTGTGTTTGTGTGTTTGTGTGTTTGTGTGTTTGTGTGTTTGTGTGTTTGTGTGTTTGTGTGTGCGTGTGTGCGTGTGTGTGTGTGTGGGTGCGTGCGTGCGTGCGTGCGTTGGTGGGTGGGTGTGTGTGGATGTGTGTGTCTGTGTGCGTGGGTGCGTGCGTGTGTGCGTGCTGGCGGGCGCGCTGGGTGGGTGGGTGTGTGTGTGTGTGGGTGTGTACGTGTGCGCGCGTGTGCGTGTATCCGTGTGCGCACGCGCACGTGCGGGCGTGCTCGCGCGCGCGCGCGTGCGTGCCTGCGTGCGTGTGTGCGAATGTGCGCGTGTGTGCGCGAGTGTCTGCGTGCGTGTGCGTGCGCGCGAGCGCGTGCGCGTGCGCGCGCGCGCGAGGGCGGGCGTGTGCACGTGTTGTTGCGCGCGCGTGCGTGCGTGTGCGCCCGCACGCGTGCGGGCACGCGGGCGTGCGTCCGGGCATGCGGGCGTTGCTTGCGCATGCGGGGGCGTGCGGGTGGGCGTGGGCGTGGGTGTTGGCCGGTGTTGGCACGTGTGTGTGGGTGTGTGCGTGTGTGCGTGAGTGCGTGCGTGCGTGCGCGCGTGCGCGCGTGTGTGTGGTGTGTATGTGCGTGTGTGTGTGTGGTGCGTGTGTGTGTGTGGTGTGCGCGCGCTTGTGTGTTTGTGTGGTTGTGTTTGTTTGTCTGTGTGTTCGTATTTGTTTGGTTGGTTGCTTGTTGGGGGAACCCTGTTTTGCTTGCCTGTGAAAGAAAGAGAAAAAGCAGACAAGTTGTTTCAGAGTACGCTAGTTTAAGCCAAGCCTATTGACGCTGCATTAACACAACGCCAATTTGCACACAGGGCTACACGGCCATCAACTAGGAGCTGGACTGTCTGGTCAGGACATCTCTCCTTGGAAGGGCTAAGCAGCTCAGTGCCGTATGCATATGCTAGCAGGGTAGGGCATTGAACTGTTTGGGTGTCTCTCTAAAACGGGAACCCTCACAAATGGTGGTTTCTGTTTGCTAAAACGGCCAAAAGTAAAAGGGGTCGCCCAGAACGACACCAATTAATCACGCTTAGCCCTACACAGGGTGTATTAACACTCTGCCCCACCCTCAGGGTTGCTATTGACCACTCATACGTATCACAAAAACCGCTCTGGAATAGTTGCAGCTCTGAGATGTCAGCCGATCATCGCGTAAAATGTCGAAGTCGTTGGAAATACCTCGCCGGTTCACTGGGACCTGCGCCTCACAACCCTGGCAATAACCTCCATTGGACTTCCATCGGTACTGCAAACTATAAATTCCCTCATTGGAAATAAGGAGCTAGCGGAACCGCCAGGAGAGCTCGCCATGAAGCTTCAGATGATACAGTTAGAAGATTGGGAGGGTCTGGTGTGTTATTCAACTCGGTCCCGCTGACAGTTGAGTGATAATCAACGCATTGACATGGTATTGCGGGAGTCTACCCAAATCCATCTACAAAATCACACTCATCCGCACCCCTTCAAGCCAGAAAGAACAAGCCAAGAGATCGAGGACTGGCTCCCCCAGCTTTGACCACCCCAACACTGATGTTACTTCTGGTCCATACTCACATTCAGTTGCTTCAAAAGCAGCCCAGTCGGCTTTGACGAACTCCAAGGCACGGAGCTCCTCCAAGAAGCTATGCTGCACCTGAGGCCTAAGCTCGAGCTGGTGTGCGCCCTCCCGCTCCCAAAGTGAAGTCCAGCGATGCTCCCTTTCCAGTTGGATCGGCCTCCAAAAAGGGGCCTGTGCGCTTCCACGTGCTTCCATGTGTGGTGGGATTGTATGGATTGTATTTCAGAGGGTTCAACAAGAAGGGGCAACCAATTTTGGGCCCCAATGCTGTTTGCTTTTTGTTTATTTTCGATCGCAAAAGAGCACCGCATCCCCACAACAAACCACATACTTTGCCATACTGTGGCCCAGTTTCAACTGATCCTGAATGAACAAGAGTGGCTCGGCGATCTTGGCTGAGCTCAGTGCCGGTAGTGCTCTCTGAAGAGGTGGGGGGCCTTCAGCGGCAACAATTCAGCCATAGACGTCTCCCATGAGCACAATCTCCACAATTTGTGTTTTCCTTTCGTTTCCTTTGGTTTCCTTTTCTATCAAACCCACAAAAGGGCGCCAACGCCAAAAATGACATGCCCAGGGTGGATCCCGATTCCCGGCGACGTCAGCCTCTGATATAGAATCGTGAATCCAGCGGCAGCTTCTTGGAACAGACTCCAACCACTGAACAGCGGAACTGGTGTTTCTGGTGATCTCCTTCAGGTGTGTCTGGTGATCTCCCTCTGCTTCCAGGATATGTGAACCAAAAATGTCTCAAAAAAACGGTCTGGGAATTTGGCGGACGTCATGCCTGTGGATTGATGTCCACCAAATCCGCAAACATCCGAGCGATGTCTATCTCGATCGGCCATGGTGCCGCCTTTTTCACTGGGGGTCCGGCAGGACAGCCACTGACCATCAAGGCCACCGGAAGGTTTGGCCTTGCGGCACTCTGAACAGCAGAAACGGGGCAAGCAAAGGACGAAACTTCAAATGGGACATGTTTCTCATATAGTCTCTTCTTTCCAGTGCTTACCCCTCCTTCCTTTCTGCACAATATCACGGTTGCCCCAAGTAGACATGAGAAAACGGGGCCTTGCGTCACATTCCCTGGAAGGATCTCAACGGGTCCTAGGCGTCCGCTCAGGGGAAAGTTGGGATTCTATACCAAACAGAAGTCAGGAGACACGACCTCTGAAACTTCTGAGGTCGCTGCGAGCGATACCTTGTCTCAAATCGCTTGAGCACCTCATAAGCCACAAGTGCGCCCATGGAGTGCCCGTACCACACGGTACTGACTCCATCGGCGAAGGAGAGAACCTTCCGCGTGACCTGATCGATCATCTCAGTCCAGCTGGTCCAGCCTTGCCAACTCACAACCCACACATCCGTGTCGTCCAACGGGCACAGCTTGCCCCACACCGACCAGTCGAAGGAGTCCACGCACCCGAACTCGGGAGTGAACAGAATCAGGCGGAGCCTTAGCTTGGTGCGAACTTTTCGAACCTGTCACAGTAACGGGCCACATGGATACAACTGATTTCACACCAGAGCCGTGAACTGGGCTGCGACCCTGAAAGAACTCACATGTTCTGCATGTGCCCAGACTTATACACACTGCATACATGAAGACATCTCTGTGTGTGTTTATGCATGTGCATGTACCTATCTATCCATCCATCCATCCATCCATCCATCCATCCATCCATCCATCCATCCATCCATCCATCCATCCATCCATCCATCCATCCATCCATCCATCCATCCATCCACATATACATAGATATATGTAGGTGTATATATATATATATATATTATGTATCTATATGCATGTGTATATGCACAAATAATGTATGTCTGTATGTATGTATGTATGTACGTACGTATGTATGTATGTATGTACGTACGTGCGTGCGTGCGTACGTACATATGCATGTGCGTACGTACGTATGTAGGTATGTAGGTGTGTATGTATGTAGGTACCTAGGTATGTAGATAGATAGGTAGGTATGTAGGTAGGTAGATCGGTATGTATGTATGTCTGTCTTTCTGTCTGTCTCTGTCTGTCTGTCTGTCTGTCTGTCTGTCTGTCTGTCTGTCTGCCTGTCTGTCTGTCTGTCTGTCTGTGGGTCTGTCGGTCTGTCGGTCTGTCTGTCTGTATGTATGTATGTGTGTATGTGTGTATGTGTGTATGTGTGTATGTGTGTATGTGTGTATGTGTGTATGTGTGTATGTGTGTATGTGTGTATGTGTGTATGTGTGTATGCCTGCATGCATGCATGCATGTATGTGTCTGTATGTGTACATATGTGTATAAATGTGTATATATATATATATATATATATTGATTTATATATTTATACACATATGTACACATGGCACCACATGTTGTATAACACATAAATATGTGCACACATATTCTAGACGTACACAAGTACATGAGTACTTGTCTGAATGCATTTCTCGGGCTTTCCCGCCCCGTTTAAGGTTGGTTTGCGCTTCGTTTAGGCTCGGTGTTTAGGTCAGTTTTGGGTTACGGCCTGGTTTCAGGTGAGTTTAGGATGGCTTAGAGTTATGTCCAACAAGGGTTTAGAGTTGATACCGGGTCAGTTCTGATTACAGTAGTTTAGGCTCGGTTTCGCGACAGTTGGGGGTTGCTTGAAGGGTGTAGTCATGGTGGTCGTGTCTTTCGGGGCTGCTTCAGAGATGGTTTAGGACGGGGTGAAGGTGAGGTGCTTACAGTGAGCTTAGGGTCTCAGGGCGTGCGGCCCGGAGATGCTGGGGGCGCCATGGCCGCGGTGCAGCGGGAACAGTGCCAGGTCTTGGGTCCTGGGGGAGGGGCGCGCCGCAGAGTCCGCAAGTGGTATACGCATTATATATATATATATATTTATACATCTATATATATATATATATATGCATATGTCATACACGTGCAACATGCTTTCAATATTTATGTTTTTCCCAAACAGCTGGAAGCTTTGGAGTCTCAGCCCAGATATGCTGCGGGGTGGTCCGGCGCGGCCCTGAGGGAAGGTTCCACGAGTGTTCCACCAGGGTTCCATGAGGCTCTGCGAGGGCTGCGGGGTGGTGCGAGCAGTAAAAAGAAAACCGTATGCTATTGGGGATAGTACACAAATCTGCTGAGGGTCGGAGGCGGGTGCTCCTTCACCTGTCTGAGATTCGTGAGGACCTCATGCCCCGCAGGCCCACGCGTCCAGTCCCGGGGGAAGGGGTCCTCGTCGCCCACCCAGGGCCCTTCTGTGTCTCGCATCTGGTCGGTGGCCTGGGGCAGAAAGGTTGCCCGGCCACCCGTAGGGTCAAGCCCCGGATCCCCGACACTTGCTGGTGCTCATTCGGGAATGAGCGAATGAACCCAGGGGTCCCCTGAAAGGAAATCACAAGGGATGGTTTATAAGGGTCATTCCCTCATTCCACGCTGAGCACCAGCCAGCAAAGGAAACATGTATGAGGGCAGGGGCTCCCAAAGGGGCTGCCCCCCTCTTCCACGCACTTTGGAGAAGATGGGCAGAAAGAAAGGGCTGGCACCTGCTCCGGGCTGAGATGTACATGTGGTCTCCAAATTCTAGATACTTGTGATACATTGGTAGGTACACCGATTCTCCCCTGTTGTGGAAACCATCTTGGAGAATAGGCAAAGTTTGGACAATCGAACCTCAGCGGGGATGTGGAGGAAGTGGGGATACAAGGAAGGTTACATTCAAACAAGTCCAGGGGAATCCTCCCAAGTCCCTGCTTCCTTCGCTTCCGTCCTCTTTGTTTCCCTGAAAAGTGCTCCTTATCACGCTTCAGGCTGGTGCCGCGCATCTGTACCAACAGGCACTCACAGGCAGGGTGCACCCTCCCACAAGCAATCCTTGACGTAAGAGAACAAGCACCCCTCCCTCAGTCGCATTCCGTGAGGAATCCCTCTGCATAGCTAAGGATTGCCCGGCCTCCTTGAACGGATACGGAAATGGCGTGTCTTTGTTGGTTGCCCAGGGTCTCGATCGACACAGCGCATCCAAGCACATCCATTCCCGCTCGTTCTCGTCCAGCCACTGGTCTGTGCAGCACCGCTTCCGCGTGTTGTCCTGGGTGAGTCTTTGAGCTTTTGCTGGCAAATGGGAATTCAGTCCTTCACAACAAGTTGAAGATTAAAGGTGAAAGAGCAACCAAGTGTCCAACTGCACATTTCGCACGGTTTCCAGGATCTTCGTTTGAGCCCCCAGAGCGATGATAGCCCGCGTCGCACCGATCTCATGCTCTTGCAACGAGGATGGAATTTCGAATTCGGGCAAAGGGATGTCAACCACCCGTGCCGATTCGCGGATGGCTGCCATGGCTCTACGAGACCTGTTCTATGTTCTGCGGTATGTTTTTTTTTTTTTTTTTACGGATAACGATTTCGCTGGCCCGCGCCTGACTGCACCGTGCTTGGAGTACGGTTTCACGCGTTTTTCTTTGGGGTCCATAATTTAGTCTTATGGCTTGATTGGATTGAAGCTAAGTCTGAGTCGAATCTTTCTGTGGGTGCATTCGCTGACTCGGCCTCTTGTCTGGCACATCCCTGCTCCGAATGCCGGAGCCCCTCGGCCAAACCCCGAGCCAAATGTTGCCGTCAGACCTCTGCACGCTGCGAATGGGCAAGTGCAAGGAAGGGTGCGGCAACCAAAGCTTTGAGTTAAAGATGTTTGTCCCACAAGCAGCCAACTATGAGCCGGTTGACATCTCGTTTCTGGTGCTTGGCGGATGGCAGCTGCCAGCCAGACAGCCAAGGGCCTGGATGTCATGCAGTGGCCTTGAGCCAACAGTATCTTTGTTGTGTGAAAATCCTTTATTGACAAGTGAAAGGTCGATCTGCATAACTCATGTGTTTGCGGACACTCCAAGGCGTGCAAATCTCGCAATAGGCAACCTGCCACACAAATGAACCGTAGGAGTCGTTGCATCACTGGGGCGGGGCGAACATCACTGTGGCGCTCTATCTCCATGCGCGTCTCCCCCTTCCTGGCAAAGCGCGCAAGAAATCGCTTCGAGGTGCCCTATGCTCTAGAATGCAGGTAAACACCCTGGAAGTTGAGCGGTATGCAGATCTCTGTCAACCTTCTTTCGGCCGGGAAAACAGGGTTCTTGAAAGCAAACTGACCCAAACAAATCATCCACTTTCGCAAGGGATCCCAACCGCAACCGATCTGAATGCACCGTGATGTCCATTGTGAACCAGTCTGTTTCCTTGCAGGAAAGTTGGGGAGCCTTTTGCTGGTGCTTCCAGCGGATACTTGACAGGAAAGTAGGAAGGCCACCAATTGCAGGGGTGCACCCCAGTGGCCCACTGCCCTGCTGTGACCCCAGAATATCTTTGGCTTATCCGATCTGCCGTTTGTGCAAGGTGCCAACGAGAAAACTGACACTCACCAGTTTGGACAGTTTGCATCCAAAGACAAACCGGGGCAAACATCTCAAGCAAATGGATATTGTTTGGTCAGGAATCGGCCCCTCAAGGAAAGCAGCCTGTACGCAAGAAAGTCCATGAAAGCCGAACACAGATTGGCACCTGACATAATTCTTCTCAAGAGAGAATTGAGGTTCCAGGTACCCTTCCACAGGTGCTGCGTTGGTGGCAGGAAGGGACATGAAATATGACAAGAATGATGCTGAGTGCACCAGATAAATCTCTGCCGCATGCAGTGCCAAACATGATGCTTGCGCTCCTTCCAATTATCTTGGCGCAGTCCCCGTGCGCCACCTGTTGCCACATTGACAGGTGCTCACACGATCACCCCCATGGCTCACTGCATGGCAAAAGCGCCAAGCCCCGGGCAAAAATGCGCGATGGTGCCTTAAGACAAGAGGCATTGGCGAGCTCCCTTCCCGCCATCAGAAAGTCCCGATATACTCTTCGTGTTCTCAAGTGGCATTCTCAAATTTGATCTTCCTGCCAGAGGAAAGTCAAAACTAAACCAAACGCCTGTCCAACTTTATGGGCCATCGTGGGCATGCTGATGGACAAAATTCCCTGCAGGGCGCCAATATTGGGCTTGTTTGGGGAAGCCAAAGGGGAACATGTTTGGGGGAAATTCGGCAGCCTCTTCAGCTCCACAAGAGGCTGAGGCAGCTGCATCCTCTGCAACGCCGCCGAAGCCGCCAGGGCCACTTCTGCTTCTGGAGGCTGATCTAACTCGCTGTCGCCTGCCAAAAGAGCCACGCTGCAATGTACTTTTCAAATGTACACATATTGGTACATAATACAACATGTACATATACATCTAGAAATATATGCACCTATAACGTGTGTATATATATATATGATATCTTAGATGTTATTGTGGTCGTTGTATTTGTTTAAAGACTGCAAAAGGCCACCCACCTCTTGGCACATCAAGCCATATCTTGCATCCTGGCAGTTGCAACACGCCCTCACATGGACAAATTCCCGTGGCGGGTGGTTCCAAAATGGTCGTCGTATGAGGTGGGGGATTGCCGAGGTTGCCAGGCCCCAGGGCCCATGATATTTCTGGGTGGATTTCCTGTTGACTGCTCCCCAGAAGCAAAAGCTGGGGCCAGGAAATTTCATGTTCGCAATTTTCCCTCCCTGTCAAAACACCATTCCAGGGGAAAACGGAACATATACATGTATGTACCCTTTCGCGGGTGGCTGTGTGTAGCTATATATCCCGTTGATCCGCTGGGGGTAGTGGTTTGGGGGGTAGTGGAACCGCCTTGGCTCTCGCTTCACTCCCTCAGCCTGCGGCTGGGCGACCGGCGGGGCGATCGCCGGCTGGGCGACCTGAGCCAAGCGAGATCTCCTGTGAGACTTGCTTCCCCAAACCCTCATGGGACAACTGGAAAGCTGGGTGCCCCTCCCCACGGGTGGGTGTTTGGGTGGTCCCCTCGTGCCCGGTTGAGGTGTTTTTTTTTTTTGCTAGCCCCGGCTTTTTACTAGCCCCGGCTCAGCACAAGGCCGCCCCCATGTGGCTCTGAAGAGGTTGGTTGGGAACCAATGCTTCGCTCTCAGGTTGGGGGCAACAGGTGGTATTCTCTGGGGGCCTAGTTGGCCAGGTTGGGGGATTGTTGGGCTTGCTGAGGTGTTGTATGATGAGGGCGGGTCTTGGGTTTCTTTGAGGTTCATTTAGGCTTTGTAAAGGGCTGATATCCAGGATGCTGCGGAGAGGGTTTGAGGTTGACTTTGAGTCGGTTTGGGTTGGTTTGGGGCAACGAACCACTACCAATCCCCCCGCAGCCTAAAAATTGCATAACCACGCCCTGAAGCAGCCCAAAGGCTAGTGCAAAAACCGGGCCGCCGCACACCTCGTGCAAATCAGCTCCAAGCCAACCCAAGCCGACTCAAAGTCAACCTTAAACCCTCCCAGCAGCATCCTGGATATCAACCCTTTACAAAGCCCAAATGAACTTCAAACAAACCCAAGACCCGCCCAAATCAAAGCCAATTGGCAGCCCCAGTCCGAGCGGTGTTGGTGATGCTGGGCATGCTGGGGATGCGGACCGACCGCCGAAACCAGCCCGGAGCAACCCTGAACTGCTAACAAATCACAGCCAATTCTCCGAGCGAGGCCGGTGATGCTGGGCATGCTGGGGATGCGGCCGCCCAGCTGGCTGACCAACCAACCAACCAACCAACCAACCAACCAACCAAGCAAGCAAGCAAGCAAGCAAGCAAGCAACCAACCAGCCAGCCAACCAAAAAAAACACCGGTTCCCTCGTGTCCTGCCCAAGCAAATAGAAGACTACCAAAGACATAGTCAATTGCTCTTATGATGGTTGCACAAAATCTCATTGATGCCTCATCGAAGTGTCTGCCTGGCGAGTTTGCTGAACCACATTGAGGCAAAGCTCAAAATGCTTAGGAAGATCATGGTGCCTTCTTGAGAATTCAAGGCGACAAGCGTTGCCGAATTGCAGCCGACGGAGACTTCAAGTGGCCAAACTTGCTTGCGAAAGGAGCCGCGAACCAAATGCCCAAGCGGGCAGACAACACGGATAGCCAGACTATGCCAAGTGTATCAAACCTGCACCTATTTAATTGCAGAAACCATTGGTGCTCGCAAAGCTCAAAAGAACTTGTCCAAAACCAACAACACAAATCAGGTGTCCGTTGAGGTGCTGAGACAAGTTGCAAACAAGACCAAGCGTTCTTACACAATGTCATTGGTGACTAAGCTGGCAGTATTCAGCAGCCCCCCTGGGTTTCCAATGCTTGGACCTGACTTTACGTCACATGCAGCAAGAAGCGCCCTACGGCCCTACAAAAGCCTCAGCTCTGTCCCGCCGTTGGGCTTCGATGGTTCAATTCTTGTGGATGTCGGGCAATGTCCGCGGGTCATGTCTTCAAAAATCCATTGGGCCAGTGCCTTGCTGCGTGCGAAGCCTTGGATGTTTCAGGTTCGGGGGGCGAGTTGCGTTTGGGGCATTTAGAGGACTTCCTCCTAGATCTCCTAGTATCACAAGCAAGCCCAGTGACGCAACATTAAACATGACGCGGCAACTCCTGCCAGCGCTTCAAGGCTCACGTCTGCATCATGACAATATTCACTTTCTATTGAGAAAAAACTTTATCTCAAGCTGAGTCCACACCATCAAGAGCTTTTACATAATTTGTAATTTGCATGGTCTGTCTGAAAATAGGATGAACTACCAGCATTGCCTTGCCCAACAAGATTGAACTAGTGCAACGGGCCCCATATTTGGTTGTCATCGAAGTCACCCTGAAGTGATAGGTTTACACAATGGGCAAGGACCCCTTTTACTTGTGATCCCTAGAAACGACAGGAACATCAATACAGGTGCAATGGTTTTCTGTCCACCAGACTTCACCAAACCCCACCTGGAGGGGGAGGAGCGCACCCGGCGCTTCCGGCGCCGCCGGGGAGGGGAGCTCCGGCTCCTGAACCCGACCGCTCCGACCAGTCGGGGTGGGGGGGGGTCAGGTCGGTTTGAGGCGGTTTCCGGTGGGTGAAAGGTGCTATATGTAAGCTCAAGATGGGCGAAAGGTGGTCTTATGGAAGGTGACAGGTCACGTTTTGGGTTGAACGTGGCTTCACGGTGTTTTGGGTTCCGGGTACGGTAGCCTCGGACCAGATTGGAGTTCAAGCGCTTTTTCTTTGGTCTTGTTCGGTTTTTGGGTAGCTTTGGGATAGGTTCAGCGTTGTTTTACGCTGATTTCAGGGTTGGCAAGTCAAAGGTCGGATTGGGATAGCCTTGCTTTGCCTTGCTCCGGAGCGATTTAGATCACGCTTGGGATTGGCTTGTGGTCAGGGTCTGGGGTTTGCTTCGAGGGCTGCTGGGTTTAGGGCTGGGGTGGGGTTGGCGCGAGCTTGGAATGGATAGTGATCCGGGTTGGCTTCGGAGTGATTGTAATTGGTGCTGCAACATTCAGAAACGGGCGCCAGCAGACTTTGAGCTTCAAAACAAAATAACAAGTTGCTGGTCCATCACCAATCTGTAGCGCCCTTGCTAAGCTCAAAAACCTCCAACATACCTTTGGAGCACACCCTAGAACCTTGTGAATGGACAGAATCCTCATCATGGGAGGGTGCTTGGACAAACGGATTCCCATCCACATGTAACTCCTCCCCTTTGGATAGCCCTCTCGCCTCGACGATCGCGCCATCGCTGCGCGCCTTCTGCAAAAGGACACAAGAATGAGGCGGGTACAAGTGGCCTTACAAGTAGGACTGGTGACAACAAAGAAGGGTACCGTCAATGAAATCAACTGTTGGCCTGAGCACATGGGTCAACCTCAATACTACGCCATGGCATCTGATACTGCATGAAAAGTCATGTTGGCTGATTAAATACGTTACAGGCAGTATTCTGTGCACAGCATGTATGATCACCCCCGCGTGCGCCATGAAGATAAACCATGGCGTCCTGGCTAAGCGAAGCCTTTTCCATTTGAGCCATGTCCAAAACGTGTCGTGATTCCCTATGTCGCATCCCTCTCCTTACGCCGCTTCCTTACGCAGCCTTACGCGCACCGTGCTTTCGCTTACGCGGCACATGGGCTTCAAGTAGGCCTTACGCAGCCATTACGCCAGAGAGACCGGATGCAATTCCGTGGAAGCGGCTTACGCGAGCACTTTTTCCTTTCACGCAGATGACGAGCCGTGGAGCAAGATGAAGAGGAGGAAGAACAGCTTCATTGCAGCGAACTTGCGAGTCAACGCATTGTCGTCTCCGGCTTTGGGCCCTTCCAGCTCCCAAGAGCGGAGCTTATCGTAGAAGCGTCGTCTCCAATTGCAAGTATCCTTCTCGTTTGGCGGGGTCCTGCTTTCTCGCGATGGTGCTGCCTTGTGGAGCAAGGCAGCGCCGTGCGGCAGAGCTGGACAATGAGCTCGGCAAAGCTGGACAATGGCAGGTCTAGGAAGGGCATTGCAAAGCCGGCAAGGCTACTACTCAGAAACGCAGCTGGGGCTTACGTGGGGGCTTACGCGAAGCTTACGCAAGCCTTACGCGGAAAACGCCCAAATTCCCTAGTTTTGCCTTGTGTAGTAGCAAAGGACAATATTGCTTTATAAGGCCCAATGGGTAGATATAACAAGCACATGACTAATGAGAAACACATGGATATGACAAACAACATGACTGAAGAAACACATAGGATATTCCAAACAACCTGACTGAACAATAGCTTACGCGGAATGCTTGCGCGACATGTTTTTTTGACAGTTGCTTAGGCCGCCTTACGCCCGTGCAGGTTTTGCTTACGCCACGGGTCGATATGACATAGTCCCTGATAAACATGTAGACGGATGACATAGTCCCTGATAAACATGTAGACGGAGGTTTTGGACGTTGCGCATTTGGGTGTGGGTCAATATTCTGGTGTGGAACGTTCCGCGGTGACGCGGACGTCTGGAACGAGTCAGTTACGTAAGGTTGGTTGTTCCGGACCTCTGGGAAGACATGTGTGGAGTCCTCAAGCACACCCTCATTTAGTGTAAGATGGATAGATGGATGGATGAATGGATGGCGCGCGGCATGACGGGCCGCGTAAGAAGCGCAGCTACCTACATGGGGCATGTGTGTGTGTGCATGTGGACTTGGTGGCAAATTTCTCCGCTGCGTCTGGAACACGTCTGGAACGGGTCTGGAACGGGGTCTGGAACGGTTACGCGAGTGTTGCGCTTGGGAATGCTAGTTCCGGACCTTATAAATTGACTCGCAGCCATTTAGTTGCCCCCCAAACTGGCAGCCAACAAGAAGCCACACTACCAGAATGACCCCCGCCCCCCCACCACTTGCTCCTGCTTGTACCCAGCTTCGTCGGCCACAACTGGTTTCCAGGTCCACATCAAATCCAACTTGCAAGACTGTCTGGCAAGCTGGAACCAGCAAAGCTCAATGCTCAGCTTGCCGGATAGCGCACGCCTTCGTCAAAGTTCAATGCGCTCAACCTTCTGGGGTGTTCTGATCGCTTTGGTTCACACCGCCATGGTCGCCGCACTCCCCATTTGACCTACGTGTGCCAGTCTGCGGCAGTGTGTGACCCACTTGCAGAACGTGTTTTGCAAGTGGGCAAGTTCCTGCCAGCTTTTTCTCAAAGGCTGTCACTTCCCAGGAACGATCTGAAAAGGACGACGCATGGGCCCTCTTCTGGGCCCTTGATCTGCAAGATTCCCGCTTCCAAAATGCCAGAAGCCTACAGCCTACAACCATCTACTACAGCCCTCAAATTTGGGCTGTTGTACCTCACACAAGAAACAGAGTGATCCGCTGAGCGCTCAAAAGTTGTGCAGCTTCTTGACTGAGATATGTCGGTGCGCAACACCATTTACTGTTTTTCCCTTCCACTAGTCAAGCTCGATGCGGCCAAGTAGTCAAACAACGGGTTAGCCCGGACCGAGGCACCGGCGAAAGGGAACGCGAAATCAGGATTGCGCCAAACGCATCATGAATAACAGTGTTATAGGGTCCCTGCCAAACCTGGGTCTTTAGGCGTAGCACTCGCTTCTGTGGTCTCAGGCTTTAGGTTGCTGCTCTTCGAGCGCTGCGAAGCCAAAACAGGTCTGAGTAGCATTTTACAGGGGACAAAAGCCCTGTGGCGAGCAAATGCTTTCTGCATAGTCTCGAGGGCCGTTTGAGACCTGGCCTTGTAACTACAAACTTCTGTGCACACTTCTTCGCACCAGGAGCGCTTGTTATGTTTGCGTCTGTCGACCGCGATCCGCACTCCATCTACTTCCAGAATCCCAGATGCTTTGCGCAAGCTGTTCCCAGGCTGTCACCACACGACACATGCCATAGATCGCATCCACATAAGTACTCGCCTTTCTGGCCAGTGATATGGACATGTCGTGCGGTGCTTTGACAGACGTCAGTGGTATTCGAACGTAATTATCCCCCAGTTTTGCGCTGCATGCCCCTGCCAGAAGTCCGTCAAATCCGAGTGTAAGAATCCTCCCCCCCACCCCAGACCTGAGTCCGTCTACTTTGCGCCACAAGTCATTCGTCACTATCGTTCAAACATAAGTTCGTTCATCTCCCGCGTCAATAGTTTGTGTGCCTGTTTCAAATCAAACACACAACGTCTGTGCAGTGGCCTCAGAGGCACCTCGCAGGCATCTCAGAATCGGTGGCAGGTGACGAAACACGACAAGAGGTGTGCTAGCATCTGCGTGTGGTAAGTGATGGCTGAGAGTCTCACTTTGCGCATTTCAACATGGAGGCCGCTGCAGTGGTTGTTTCGGCCCATCTTGTTTGCCAATTGATGGCGGTGTCTCCAGGTGGCGGCCATGGAAACAATGACAAAGGCCTTGAGCCGATAGCATGCTGTTGGCAAAATCCCTTCAGGAATTCGGGAAGTCTCAACCCACACACATCTGTCTGATTCATGCAAATGAAGCTGGCACGTCTCAAGTGTGATTGACACATGCAAACACACACCTAGTCGTATGCGCATCCAAGCGGTAGCGTTAGGCGCTACAGTCGCACATGGGCTTCCCGATCTCAACGGACGCCTTTCTTGCTGCTTCTGCGTTCGCTTCCGCCTGCCTCTGGCAGGAAAGCACTTTGCTTATCCAAGTTTTGCAGGGAATGCTCCTCTTGAACACTCCCTAATGAGCTTCTCGGGTCCGGAGTCAACCATCGCCGAACAAAAAGCAACAAATGCGACCCAACTCGGGGAAACTCCAGCATTTGCTGGAAACCGCGGAAACTGAATCGAAACGTGGGCATCTCGTCCGCAAACGCCCGGCAAGTCACAGCTTCATTTGTGTGCAAGCGTCTTCCTGAGCAGCATGCACGGATTAGAAGTCCAAAAACGGCTCTCACGTCACGTTGAAAGCTGTCTGAGTGAAACCAAGTAGCAGGGGCTGAAGGCACGACTTGTGCGGAGCGCACCGCATCAAAGCCCATGAAGTTAGACTTTGCTGATTTGACGCGACCTGAAGTGCCATGCCAGCAGTCGAACAACATGACTCTGCGAGTCAAAGTGAAGAACGTGTGGCTGAGGCTATCAGTCTGCCCACGAATAGTTGGAAAAGGCAGGAATGGGCATATCCGGAAGCCCCAAGAAAAAACGCTGCTATCAAAGTTCTCACCGGTTGGGAAATTGATGCGGCTACAGAGACATAGCGAGGTGTCAAAGGGCCGTCGAATCCAAACCCCTTGGTTCACCTCAGCCCTCTAGCCCTGGCAGAAAATCTGAGCTGCGAATGTCGCGCTCGGAGACCTCCTGCACCACACCCTCCTCCTCCTCCTGAGCTGTCAATGTGAGTGGGCGATGTGTGTTGCCTAGCCCTGGCACGGGCCTAACCCTGGCACGGCTCGGCACCGCACAGAAGGTGGCTTTCTCACAGTAGAAATCAATGCAAACCGCTACCTGGTGAAGCTCGGTGATAGTAAGGTGGGGCTTGGGCTGGTAATTTCTGTGTTGGCTGGGGTATTCTAAATCTGTCTTGTCTGGCATTATGGCCTTTCTTCTCTTTAGGATTCTATTTTCAAGATTATATATTATGAAAGTATGAAAGACTTATAAAGATAGAAAACAATACCAAATCATAATGTATTAATAATTCTAAATGAGATATCTTCTGGAAACTATTCTTTGCTTTTCATGCTATTTTCCGTTGACCCAACATGCCCAAAAGTGTACCCCTAAGAGCCCTCGAAGTATGACTATTGTAAGGCTTGAAAAAAGCTTGCAAGCGACCAAGGCACCTCAGGCGCCAAGGCCCCCTTTGCAACCAACTATTGCAATCCGAGCTAAATTGGTGACGCCTCCCCCCCCCCGCTCGCCCCACTGAACAGTGCCACCAGGGGACGGGGTCCTCTTTAAGAAACTTGGGGGTCTGGCTTCGACTTCGACTTGCTAGTACGTACTTTGGTCTCGCCAATTCTAAATCTAGTGATGCCAAGGCGTACGTCAGATTCCCAGTAATTTCAGCATTGCCAATTCTAAAAGCCTTACCCTTCAGAGTCTCAGTACATACTTCAGTAAATTCTAAGTTTCGTATTGACAAGCCGTACTCTCACATCCCAGCCAATTCTAAATGCAGTATTGCCAAGCCTTCCCCTTCAGATTCTCATTACTTTAGTATTGCCGATTCTCAATTTAGTAGTACTTTGTTTAGGCTGGGTTTGTTTGGGGATTAAGTGCGATCATCGATGTTTACGGCTTTGTTTCGCCAGATTTGGGCTACGTTTGCAGTTTCTTGAGGGTGCAGGCAGGGTGCTGGCTGGTTGGGGTTCATCCAAAGCAGGGTTTGGACTGGTATTTTGGTGCTTTAGGGTTGGCTTAGGCAGGACAGTGATGACTGAATCGAGGTGGGTTTTAGTGCGACATTTTCGTTGAGGGCTAGTTCAGCAGTTCTCGGGCTTGCTCTGAGGTATTGTTAGGTTGGTGCTAGGCTGGTTTGGTTGCTTGGGGAAAACACGCCAAAACCAGCCGGAAAAAAAAAGATCCTAAAGCAAACCCAACAACTGCAAAACCAGCCAAGCTCGGCAAACAACTGCCTCAACCGACCCAACAGCTGCAAGCAACCACACGAAGTCCCAGCCCGATTCAGCCAAACGTCACCCCGATCTTGCCTGAACCAACCCTGGAGCAGCACAAAGAAATCCAAGTTCCCGCTCAGCCGAACTTGGCGAAATGCCCTAAAAGTCATCACACTTAACCCCCAAAAGCCAGCCAACCAACCAACCAACCAACCATCCAACCAGTCAGCCGGCGAACAGCCAGTCAGCCAACCACCCAGCCAACCATGCCTGCCAGGGTGCTAAGCAAACAAACACTGCGCTAACGTGGGTGTGTGTGTGTGAAATGGCCGACCCCCAAACAGTGCGAAGGAACAGACCATCCACTACAAAATCGGCTTGCAAGAACTCTATACAAGGTCCATGGTAGGTCCTGTGCAGGATCTCCTTGGGAGGATCTCGATACACAGTTCGTTGCAACATCTGGCTGCAAGAGCTCTAAACAAGGTCCCATGCGAAGCCTTGTGCAGATCCCTTGCCGGAAGATCACGCCCCGCCAATGTTCAACTCACACCCCGCCGCAGCGAGAACGATCCAACGCAAACGAAGTCCGCAAAGGGTTCGCAGTCGATTTTAGACATTCACACCGTGTCGCAACAAGAGCAACCCGACGCACCCCAAGTCCGCAGGGTTCTTATCAATGCAAAAAGCTCCCACCGTGTCACGGCGAGACCACCGAAACTCGCAGCGCGCCGCCATGAGAGCAATCCGAGACACCCAAAGTCCGTGCACCAACCCACGCTTTGCGGAACCCGCGCAGCACCACAGCGAGACCCTCGAAACACACCCGCGCGTGCTGCACCTTTTCCGCGAGCCTGCGCAGTCGAAATGCGATTCGGGAGACAACTTCTGTGCGAGCCGGCTCACCCGAAACGACGCTGAGCACAATGTGACCCCTCAATCTAGTCCTGTCTTACACTTCCCGTAAGAACCCTCTGGTGTAGACAGACTGTTTTGACAAAAACCACGTACACACGTTCGATGGAATCTGGCGAGTGACTCCCTTTCTTAGTTGGAATTTGGCAAGTATCTCTAATGCGATCCCCGTTTTCTACATTAAAGGGTAAATATTGACGGTTGCTCTCCTGGATCACCGCATCCGCAAGGACAGCGCTTTGAAAGACTTCGAAGCGGTTCTGAAGCCAGGGGGAGAACTTCTCAATGCACTGGCCAATGGCTGATCTGGGGACACTTACGACCTCCACCTGCGTCTTGCACCGCACTGTATATCTGTGGATTGCTGCTCGCCTCTTCCAAGTACTGTATGGTGCCCAAAGGCAGGACTCACCAAAGTATGCCGGAGCATCTAGTGGATATCCGCCGACCCTGAGCAGCCCAAATTTAAGCCCCTCATTTCTCCTGGACTTTATATGATCTCTCCAAGCACTTTGAATGAAGGCGGCTGCCCGACGTTGCACCGAATCCTGGCGCTTCAGCTCTTTGACAGCTCTGGCAATGTTCTCGCTGTAGCATGTTCCAAAAAACTGGGTCTCCAATTCATCGGTGCGAGAGCTAACGAGTGCCGTCCCCGTAGTCTGCCGCCTGAAAGGTGGCAACAGCGTCAAACAAATCTCACTGTTGTGGGTTGCAGGGGTTGATCACTGACTACAATTGAACATGTAAAAAGAAAAGGCACAATCAATACAAATTATACATATCCAATGTCACCAAAGACCAAGATCCCTCTTTCACACTTGCATGGTCCGTCTATAAACTGGGTCTAGTAACTGGGTCAATCCAAAGTGCAAAAAACATGCTGATCTTCTGCACACCGGGCAGCTTGACGTGCCTGTGCAGAATGAGCTGCTTGAAACGCTGAGCCCTGCTGATCTTACTGTGCTGTGTCACCGCACGCTGGACGAGCCCTTCCTTGCAGGGATCAAAATCACAGCTCCAAAGAGGAGCCAATTTACTCGAAAAGGCCCCCGACTGCTCGTTTAAATGAAGCGGCTGATAAGCAGAACTTGGATACTGCAGAAAGCGCCTAACTTCATGAGACTGTCGGCCCGTCGGCTCTATGATTTCAACACCACAAATCCGCAAAGTAGCCATCAATGATCATCAAATTATGCCTCTTCCACGCGCATGGGGAATGAATAGTGTCCCAATTTCCTGCTTGAAGTACACCTTTCATCTTTCAGCTTGAAGGTCCTCTTCCGGGCAAATTTCGTCTTCTTGGTCGCACTGCTCAGCATCAGCATCTCGCCTCACGCACCAGAAGTAACTACGTGTGCCGTCAGTCAGGATGCACCCCCGAACACCGTCCTGTACAGCACCGCGGTTCCCGCAAGAAGGATCACAACGTCCTGAAGCATCGACCAAAAGACACGGCTGGTCAGATTATATAGCCATGCTAAAAGCCTCTTGTGCGGCGGAATGCGCATGGTTTACCAAATGGTGGGTTTCTCTTGCATTGTCTCAACATACCCTTCAAAACAGGCGGCTTCCTTTTGGCTTCCCTCCCACCGCCTGCAGAATGGGTAGCCTCCAATCAAACGCACCCACATTGCAAAGGTCCTTGATCTCTTCGCCTGCCCTCAGCAAAAAGTCCCCAGAGTCATGGAAGCCCGATCTTACACCTCAGCAAACTTGGTTTTGCTACAGCTCTACACGTTTCTGATTCTGCGCCTTAGCTGCTCTCTAAATTGGACGTTTTTGGTACCCCTACATAGATATGGCCGTAACCAGAAGAATTCCCTTCCCAGGTCCAAACGTGAAGCTCAGAGAGACAGCGTACTGAGCGAGCCACTCACCGCGAGATTCCTCAAACAGGCCTTGTAGCCCCGCATCCTCAGCTATACTGGTGCAAAAGGTAGTCAGGTAGTCTTTCAGACGGGCCAAATGAGTTCAAATCTCTTTTAAGCGCTGAACAAGCCTGCGCATGTTAAGCGCTGAGGCCTTCACCACGCGAGGAAAGGCGCCGCATGGAGCACGTCCTGCACGAGCGCCAGACACGCTGCGGATGCTCTCAAAACTAGGGAACCCTCCCAAGCTGGATAGTTTCTCTTTGGCACCTGCTTAAAACAAGCGGAAAAAGGGGAGGGACTTCTAAAACAAAGACTTGCCCACATGTGACAACGACCACCTACATTCAACTTCACGGGTGAGAGAATACAGTTCTCATCAGATTGAAGATGCTGAAGCTGGCCAGAGAGCTTTGCACATAAGGTTCCAGCACCTACATTGATCTACATCGATCAACTGCCTTGCGGAATGTCTGTGTGTGTGTGTCTCCCATGTTCCAGTGGAAAAGCACGTGTTGTTTGCACAGCCGCCGAACCAAATTCAGAACCCAACAACCATCCCCAGTTCGTGCCGGGGGGCCAGGGATGCGACAAGGGCTGAACGAGTCGAGATGGATGCCAACTCCCATCTTCACCTTTGAAGTCAGGCAATGCCCACATCGCCAGTCCTTGAAGATATGGAAGCAAAGCTCAGACCTCAACGTCGGCGTAAGTTTTTGCTTCAACTCCTCCTCATACAGGTCGTAATCCTGGCGCACTGGCTCCATCCCCAGCTTCAAAGCCAATTGCCAGTTTGCGCTGCTCACCACTGTCCTTCTGCGCTCCCCACTTGAACCTAAGGATCTTCAGCTACCATGCCTTCCCTCGTCTGAAAAGCAAGTCCATGCAGTCCAAACTTGCTCTCGGGCTAATGACTAATGCAGTACAAGGTGCAAGAAAAATCGACGCACCTTGCGGGAGCGGATGTGATTTGCATCGATGCAGTTCAATCTTGGAACGGCTTGGCATGTCAGCTGCCTTGACCAGCAGATTCCGCGGTATAGCTCGCCATGTCATGTACCTGCAACGTGGACACATGGCATCTGGCAGCCAAAGCCCACAACCCCACATCTCTCATAGTGGCACCAAAGACTCTTGCCTATGAGACGTGAGAACGCCTCCAGATCTGGACGAACGCTTCAACTGGTGGATTCCTGTTGGTTGCTTCTTAAGAAAATCGTCCTGAAAACGGGGCCGCTGCTTTTGACAATGGTTTCCTTTTTTGGTGCCCCTTTTAAATTGTCCCACAGTTGACACGCGCGTTTCTCACAATTAGGGAACCCGTAAAGTGGTTGGTGTCCTGCCTGGCTTCCGTTTGAAACCATCCAAAACGGGCCGTATCTTGACAAAAGACCCACATCCCCAGTCGCCTGGCCAGCTGCCGCTTCTTCAGGCCAATGATGCGGTGCTCCTCTGCGGATTCCCTTGAACACGACGCCAAAGCTTCCAAAGAGACAAAACGCGTTGAGCAGCGGCAAACCGGGTATACACAGGCTATTTACATCCTTTGCCACAAACAACATGACACCAAGCGACATGAATGGCTCGTTTGTTTGTATCCAGCACCGCGGGGGTGTGGGTGAAGCAACCAACAGAGCAAGCCAATGGATGTGTCTCCGAATGTGGTATGGAGGCCTCGAAAACACTACGTGTTCCTTTGGTTTCCCCTCGAGAACAGCAAGCCCAAACCCAGATCAACTGCGTCTGACGCTGTTTAGGCTGTACTTGAGCCAAAACAAGAGACGAGAAGGGGGGAAGCCCCGGTTTTCCACCGTGCCAAAGGTCTCCTTATTCACGCTGGCCACCAGGTCGCTCAGCATTCCCAGCAGTCCAGAAAAGATCACTGCCGAGGTGAGGAGCAAAAGTAGCACCCAGCGGCATTCATCTGTCGTCCTTGTCAAAATGGATGCGAATGAAGGTCAGGTATCGCTTGAAACATTCCGAGCAATGTCACAGCTGAGTCGCCTAGGCGTAATGTCTCCTTGGCTATCACATTGGCATGTGCCTCTCGCCGTGATATGGGCAAAAGTCATGGCCTGGAGGGAAACCCTGGCACTATTATCTAAACACCTAACAAAGGGCTGGCAGGAAGCAAAACAGCACAGTACACGTTTGGAAATACAGCCTGTGGCAGGCGGTTTCCAGCCAAGCAGCCATACCCGACAGTGGTAAGCGTGGTGAGCGTGAAATACAGCGACCACGTATACCTCGCTGCAAGGTCTCAATTTGTCCAGTATGTGGTTACTTGGATCGGTCTATGCTCAGATTTCATGGCACATCCAAATATGATCTCATCCTGCCATGCGTCCGAGCATAGATGAGGTTGTCGCCTTCATAGCCCTGCCAGTAAGCGAGTTTCACTGCTTCCCCTTTTTCATTGCTTCCTGTGCCAGGGGACTCATCTTAAAAGGAACGGCGAAACGCGCTCTTGGATGGTCACGTGACCCAGATGGCCAGAAAGCCAATAGGACTGTCGACACTCGCGATCCCTATATATGGCGGTAAACGCTCACAAGAAGCCCGACTTTTGAGCAGCGCGGTCCTTCTCAAGCTCAGAGACCCAGCCACCCTCAGCCGGATCGCGACAATCAACCATTGCAGGGCCCTGCCCACCCTCCTCAAGCCGAAGCCAAGGCACTTCTTGTGAAGTACCCACCGCATGCCAGAAGCAAGCACACCAATGAGCAACTGCAAAAAGAAGCAGCAGCACCTTGAGTCGCAGACTGAACATTGCAAAACCTCTTTGCCATCGTGCAAAGGCCATGCCTATCTCATGCTATCTATATACATCTTGCTGCATGCGACGCCAAAGCACAACAGGATCCCGGCCTTGCCAAATCCCATGAGCAGCTCTGCAACATATCTTCCTTCCATGTAAGTCTCCGCGGCCCTAAGAGAGGCGCTCTGATGCAACAACCAAGTGATGCCAAAAAAACATGCGGTGAACAGCGGACAGGCTCGCAAACACTTCAAAATCTCCCACTGTCTGCCAAGCATCTCAGTAATTGCCCGCAGCCTTGGAAGGATGCCACAGCCACTGTCTCAATGAGTGCATATGAGCGTGTGCGCTTCCCATTCATCACAGGTCATGATTATGTTTCCTATCAGCAACACTCACTCTGCAGCACAACTGAACTTGACATCTAAAAATAGATGACCGTCCAACCCCTTTCGGAATCATTGGCGTTTCGCATTGGACATTCGTCCACTGAGTGCTCCCACGCTCAAGGCTGTCCGTTGAAAGAACACCTTTCAGAGCGACCCTTGTTCGAGCGCACCTGTTAGCTTTGTTTGCAGCCGCAACCCCTTTGAGAATGGTCCATCCTTCCGGACAAGGAAATGAAACTTCTGAGCCCGCGAAAGAAAGAAACCAAAGAAAGCAAAGAAAGCAAAGAAGGCAAAGAAGGCAAAGAAGGCAAAGGAGGCAAAGAAAGCAAAGACCAGCAGACCACCCCATAACTTTCCCCCAGCGTCTTCGCCAGCCGCAGGAGTCGCGCCAGTCGCGCGAGGCGTACAACCTTCAGGCCACGGGTCACCTGGCCGCGAAAAAGAAGACCACCTCTTTTCGGTTCCTGAAAAATGGGGCTACCCCAAAAGTTGGGCTGGGGGGGCGGGGTTCCTTTGGTTTACCTTGAAGCTCAAAAAAGGGGGCTGTCCCTCAACAACATACATATTTACCAAACTGGGATAAGCACGACCTGGTCGAGGTCTTAAGGCAATCCGGCTGCTGACCTCGTGACCTCGTCTCTAATGCAACTGCGGGCTTTCAATTGGGGGGCTCGTGGCTTGGGGTCCTTTGCAAAGGCAGGGCAACACAAAGCAACATCTCAAAACGGGAACCTTCCGCTGCACAAGCTGCGAGCGCTGCTCGTGCACCTCAACCTGATCACTCCTTGCCCCCTAAAAGGAACTAAGAATGTCATGGAACGTTGGGTATTACGCAGTATGTCTAATGTTTGATCGGGACGTCCAAGTATTCCCTTGTTTCCCAGGCTTCCACTACAGAAGCGTGACAGCCGTTGGTCACTAAACAAGGCTTCCCTTGGACGGCTGCCCATGCTGTCAGTTGAGCTCATCCGCAATTATGCTTGGAGCCACCCTTTTGGAGTTGTGCTCAAGGGAATTCAACGGGAAACCGAAAGCCCGTGTGGTTCCATATGCGCCAAGGTCAAGACTCCTTGTAGTCATGGCATGACTCCTTGAGATTCCTTGTATCTAACATTGACAGCCCGAATCCCGCAAAGGTCGATCTGCCCTAGTTCCCCAAGTGAAAGAGTGTTTTGACAAATGCTGATGTGTCATGTTCCGTTTGACAATCGCACCAACATGGAAGTGAGCCTCCCTGTCCAAATGTCCTTTCATGCCTGGCTGCCCGTTTCCATGTTTGGTGGTCTGCTTTTCGGGTGGGGACCAAAGGGCAACCGCCAACTTGAGGGTTCTCATTTACATTGGACACGCCCTGCGGTTCACAGCTCATTTCGCCCCGGCTTGCCTGCGCCACCGACGTGTCACCAATCCAGCTCCAGGGGATCGCGGCGACGGCGTCTAGCGCGAACCAGCCTGGCCATCGCTGTTCAGCGCTGGTCGCTCATATACGGTCGGTATACGGATGTAAAGTGAGAGTGGTCGGTCCTTTACTTGGGGATTTAGTTGCAGCAGTCTTTGAGAATGGAGCACATGAAAAGTGGGAACCCATTTTTGGAGGTTGCTTTGACGGGCAACCGAAAGCACCCTAATTTTGAAACAACCCACGTATTCCCTTTGAGCATCATTCCACGAAAGAGAAACTCAAACAACGTTGGGCGACCGAAGGGGTCCAAACATGGAAATGTGAGGGCTGGCAATTGCCAGGGAAGGATGGGACGGCTTCCCTTCGAGTCCATTTGGGCTCGAACGGCAAACTTCTTGGTAGCAGGGCCAGTCGCCGTGCTAAGCCCGAATCGTTCACATCCATTGCATGACGAGGTAGGAAGCTTGGGTGCCTTTTGGCTTCCTTCAAAGCAAAGCCACCATTTTTTGGATTTGGGCTGTCAGCTGTTCCACCTCTCCTTCGGAAAGAACGAGCGTTGGAAAGCAGATGTCGGTAAAATGGCAAGATCTGATGTCTACACGTGTCATGTCGCAAAGTAAGACAAAGATGTTCAGCCAGCATGCACGCTGGGTGGGTCGAACGCCTTTCAGAGTCAAGCATTCTCCTGATGCTTGTTGGCAGGACCTTCTGCCAGCTCTGTGCATCATACCTTGAATTGCAGAGTTGCTATGTAAAGTATCTAGCCTCAAGCATTTCAGCCCGGTCTTGCGCCTGCCAGATAGTGCTTCGCCTCAGATCGGCATTCGGGGCGCACACCGACACACACACACACACACAGAGGCAGACAAAGACACACAAAGACACGCACAGGCAGCGCACCAAACGCAACGAACCCGCGCACGCCCACACGCACGCCCACACGCACGCCCACACGCACGCAGACACAAGGTGCATGCGGCATACTTTGAAAAGTCACGATGCCAAGAAATCCAACGGAGGACACAATGCCCATTGGACTATACTATCAGACAAGCTTCTCAAATCCGTTGTGCTAGTCTTGGGTATGGCAAAGCACCAAACAATTGCCGGTATGAATTTGGTCAGCAGAACTGAAGATTGTGTTTTGAGAAGCGCCAGCTTGTCTCCTTTTCTGTGGGCACTTGCCACTTGATTGAGAAACAATAATAATCAAAATTCACAAGAATGATCAAGAATAATCAAGATTTAGACTAATTGTGACTTTCTTTCACAAGAATCCAGATTTCCTGTGGCCATGCCAGCACCAGGTCGCAATAGCCACCGGCTTCAGCTCCATGTTGCCCCGCGCGTCGCGAAAGCCTTCAAGACCGGAACAAAACCAAGGCGAAACTGGTATGGCACCAGCATCCCAAACACTAAGCACTGCATTTTCCATGTCCACGCATTGTACCGTGTGACCAAGGTGTACTACCACAGTTACATGTTGGAGGGCTGTTTAGCTGTGTCTCCAGGCCTCATATACAATTCCAAGTGCTGTGACATCTTGAAAAGACAGCATGTCAAATCACCGTGTTGTCTTAACAGAGCAGCTGTCGGGAGGGCTTGGAAGCTTCATTGTTTGGCCGTCACATCAAAAGCCTGGCCTGTGACGAAGGTAACAACGATGTCCATCAAGAAGTACCTGGGATTGACACTTGGGCCACAGGGGCAGGGACTGTGATGACGCTCAACTGCACGGCCGGATCCATTGTCAAGTCACTGCTTCCAGATAGAACCATAGCGTGTAGCCCATGAGGCAAAACATACAGGCAAAGCACCCTCACCCGCTAGAATCACAGCAGGGAGGGCCACTGATAGCTTGCCAAGATGCAGGTCAACTAGCTTGAAGGCAAGTCCCGTCGCGCCATCATCTGTGTCCACAGAGAAGGACAGCATAAAGGGTACAAGGAACGCCTGCGAATGGACGGGGGCCGATGGTCTTTTAGAGCATTGACGAGACTTTCGCAAAAGACAGTTGCTACATTGTGGACCCTTTGGTGAACAGCATTTGCGTGGTAATGTATGCTCGCCAGCCAGAAAAAAATCATCGCCACATCGTCAGCCTGCCAAGGTTAGTATGTAGCTCTGCAGTCTGCGCTGCCTGCTCGGGCATGCAGCCTAAGCTTTCAGTACGAGTACGTTACACAGAGCATCATATTTGCTACATGATATCACCCAATTTACACTTCACAAAGAACACCTTGGCGCCTTATCCGCCACAAAGCTCCCTCTCCATTTTCCGCCACACCCACCTACAGCTAGGCTTTCTAGAATCCTTGGGCTCATCGATTCCTCGTGGTCCCCATGCGCCTCCGCGAGCACGAAGACGAAGGCCGGGGTAAGCCACGCCAGGCGCGGTGCACCCTCCGGGTGCAGCACCGGCACGGCCAGGCAGCACGTCGGCCAAGGCCTCCCCGATTTGGTCGGGGCCTACTGGTAGAGCTACTGACCTCAAACGCCCTTGTATATATGTATATACACATAGAGTATGTATATAATACTATATATATATATATATATGGTCCCGTGTTCCGTGTTGCTACCCCCCCCCCCATATGGTATGGGTCCCCCACAGCCCCCGGATCCTGTCACTTACGGTCCCACCCCCACCCCGACCCCCTGAACTCGCACCCCGACACCCCGGCACCCCCACCCCCAGGACAAGCCAACCCGCAACCAACCATAAACCAACCATAAACCAACCCTAAACCAACCCTAAACTACAACCCTGAACCAACCCTAAATACACCCTAAACCAAACCCTAAACCGTACACCTCTAAACCTAAACCAACCCTAAACCAACCCTAAATCAACATAAACCAACCCTAAGCCAACCCTAAACTAACCCTAAATACACCCTAAACCAAACCCTAAACCGTACACCTCTAAACCTAAACCAACCCTAAACCAACCCTAAATCAACATAAACCAACCCTAAGCCAACCCTAAACTAACCCTAAATACACCCAAAATATACCCTAAACCAATTCTAAACCAACCCTAAACCACCACAACCCAACCACAGGACCACAACCACAGGGGGGGGTACTTGTCTGACCCATGACCATTGGTGGGGGGGGGGGGGCTGGCAACGCTGTACCATATATATATATATGTATATATATATATATATATATTATAATGTATGTATAATCTAAGGATGGTTGGATGGTTGCAAATGACTCCTTTAGGGGTATGAACAAGGTTATGTGTACTTCCACCCTCTTTCCAACGACCAATCATAAGTGGGCGTGTAGGGCCTTTCAACAGGATGGTAGTTGTGCAAAATCCTCCGATCGTCCACTTTCTGGGGCAGGAAGGGGAAAGCGAAGCTAGCAAATACTAGCAAATAGCGGAAGCAAGGAGGCAGTCAGGTGCCTGCTTGGGGGCCGAAGTGAGAATAAAACCTGAAGGCGCGTTTGGGGCAAGGTGAGTTATCGATTCGACAAATTAGTTCCACCCAAATGTTGGATAAAATCAACAAGTCAAGATTTCACCCCATGCACTTGCTTATGAGTGATCGCTTTGGTTTGAAACCATCTTCAGAAAATGTTCCAAGTGTGGGGGCCGTAGCCAAGCAGGGACCCTTATTTGGCTGACAAGGAAAAGGGGACCAAGTTGAAGCCACAACACGGGGGCTCCCCATCAGCCCTGCCGAACCCGATTCAAGCCGATGGGGACTCTGAGCCCGGCGATCGGGCTCGTTTGGGGCCCTCTATCATGTTGCCAGTGGAGAGGACAATGTTTGCGCACCAGAATGTCGTCCCAGTTTGTTTGCCTTCCCTCTGCACTTGCTTCTGAAGCCTTACAGTTGCTGAACCGACTCAAACGATGATCGGGGAATCAAACATGACCAGCTCAGTCTCAAAGGCCTAAAGGCAGGTCCAGCCTCTGCCACACCACGGCACCCCGCTCATCCTGGGCACGCAGTCAAATGATCGTTTGCTTCATGTTGCTTCTCCCACGTTGACTAAGGCACACAACCCAGGTACAATCCCATGGGAGCCACTTCTCACTCTGCCAAGCGTCGTTCTCGAAATCGCGGAAGGCCATCGAACCAGACAAGCCCTGCAGCATCTTCAAGGATGAGGATCTAGATCTGTTGGAAGCCTAACGCGTCCACAAAGCCTCTGCAACGGAGCCTCGCAAATGGTTTCCTTTTGGCCTCAAAAAAGACTTACGTGCATCTTTCAAGGAGCCTAGTGAAGGCTGCACATCCGGACTGCAGCCAAGTCACGCATCGGAAAGCTTCAAAGTGACCACGCTGCTTCCCCGAGAAGGCGTTCATCGCCTGAAGAAATCTGCCAGGACAAGCTATTCTCGGGGGCAATTCTGCCAGCAAAACAGCAGAAACCCATAAAACTGATGATTGAAAAGCACGATTCCTTGAAACCGAAGAACAAGGAATCAACCCCTGCTGTTCCCTGCGGTCGGACGGTCACCTCCTGAAACCCGGTTTCGTTACCGAGAAGCCGCGCAGTCCAGCGGGCCGAAGGTACGGCCCTGCTCCGCGAGCCAGTTCGTAGAGGCGGACCTCGGCAGAAGCCGAGGAGAACTGCGAAGAATGACACCCCCACCCGGTAACCGGGTTCAGGGAGACCCCTTAACCCATATTGAGGGCTCAACCATCGTGGTCCTGTTGTTCACAAAATTTCCGTGGCACCCTTTAAGGGAACTGGGGGGTTCTATAAAAACGGATCATGGACCCCGCTGTACTAAAGGGGGAAGCCATGGGAGACTGCTTGTTAAGTGTGCCAAACTGGTGCACACCCATGCAGGCCTCCCCGTTGGAAAGACTATGCCAGCATCACTAGTCAAAAGCCAACAAATCGCACCGGACAAAAAGCATGCTTAGCTAAAATCGAGAGCTACACTTCAAGGGAAAACACTTCAATTATTCAATGATTGATGTGTGTCTGTGTGTGAACGTTGCGGGCGTCCAAACTCGAGTTTTCGGAGTCGGTCGACGGCATCAAAGCTCTTTACAAACGAATCACGTAGTTTCTCACTTTTTGGGCCTGGTAAAACTCGGTCTGCTTGTGAGGGTCTTTGTTGACTAAAGTGGCCCAAAACCTCCGGCATCAGCAGCGGAACAAAAGGGAGGCGTCGTTGCGTTTCAATCTGAATGACACAAATATACACAGGTATCAATATATAGAGAAATATATCCGTGGAACAAAATGCAAAGATATGTTTAGAATCTGCTCAATTTCGTTGAAACCTTGCAGAAATGAGAGGCAACTCCGACTCCAAAGCAAGGGGAAAGGCAAACTGGAGCCCAGAAGAGGCGGGAAGTCGACTCAGGTGCCAGTTGAAAAGGAAATCGGAAACTTGAGTCGACTGCAGAAGACATGCAAAGGAAGAGATGAGGCGGGTTGCAGTTGATGAGAGTTTTGACTGGCATGGACCAAGACTACAATGAATACAATATTGAGAGCCGCGAATAGGGCAGGAGCAGTGGAAAACAAAGGAAAACGACGCGGAGTGCCCAGGACTGCACAGGCACCGCACCCAAATTATATCGACATAATATACACAAACCGCAAACTAAGTACCGGAAACCGGCAGGAGCAGTTGCCTTCGGGGAGCTTGATGAGGTTCCACATTGGTGGGTGGGTGGGGGGTTGAACCCCATGAAATTGCGAGTTGGTCCAAAGGAAGAATGCCAGGGGTCGACAATCGAATGCAATAATAATAATAAGAAGAAGAAGAATAATAATAGAAACCTGGCGATGGGATTGGCCCATTTTGACACGTTCTCAAATGAGTCTGAAACACTAATTGGGGAACCTTGGTTGAATGGTTGAACTGTTGAACAGTATTTGCATTTACAGAAGCCACCACCCATTTTGGCCAGCCATGACAGCCACCACCCATTTTTTTTGAGCCACATGATTTGTCCACCACCCACTTCCCATGCAAAAGTCATAGCGTAAGTCCAAGAAGCGGCATGACTCCTTTGCGAGCACTCGCATCCGGCTCAACAGCCTGAGTACCAGCCTGCAGATTCATTCGAGCAGCTTGCTTGTTTCGCCAGTCAGTAAGTCCCGGCGTCCATTGGTCATCACTCAATTCTAATCCCCTGATGCCTGATGCCGATCAATTGCTCGCCATGCATCAAGGCCCGATTTCCAAGTAGCCTCCCTGAGGCTCACAGGGAAGCTCCCATGCTTTTACAAAGCCTAACTCCCGTTGCACTCGTCTACTTGCTTCCAAGAAGGGTAGCCTCTACCTTCAGCCGTGGACCCCTTGCCTCGATGATCATATCCTCCAGTTTCCTCCTATGCCAAAGGACTGCTCAATCATTGTTGCACAACAACGGAGACCCGAGGTGCGTTGGTGGTTCTGGCGCTGACACTACAAAACATTAGCGTGATTCCAAATGTCCAGTCACAAGACATGCTCAAGGTGGGCGCAAACATGCAGCAGTCGACAAACGGACCAACACAACTCTAGCACATCTCTTAACGAGAGATGTGGCCTTGGGATTTCAGCTTGTCTCCAGACATGATCCGCGTGTAAAGCCGTCCTGACAGATGCCACATCCTCCTCTGCCTTTTGCAAAGCGTGGATGCTGTCCTGCAGGGCAGTGTTGTCTACCGACTTCTTACCGCGCAAGGGCAAAATTCCGAACTTGAGGTTGAGCTGACAGTTTTGGAAGCAAATGGTGTCTGACAGGAGCCTTCAACATGTCCCTACTGCACGGCCTTGCCTCAAAGGCCGCGAAGTCTGCATATGTGCAATGCCTCAAACCAGAACATGCTCACCACCAACAGTGCAACCTGCAGCTTCACAAAGCTGAGTAACATGAGGCTACCATGGCTTCATGACTTACCACGAATACTTCCCCCAGTCTTCTGCTTTGCGGGCGTGCCGAGTGTGGTTTTGAAAGGAGCCAACCATCCACCAATACTCAGTTGAGGGAATACCGCTGCACAGCTCCAACCGGGTGGCCAGTGTGTCGTCGTCCGACCCTTGGCCGCTGTGTTTGTAGATGATGCGGTGTAGGTATGGCCTCGGATTGCACTATGCCAACTCTGCCAGCCAAGTCATGCTGCATCTCATGTGCACGCGCGCCCCCAAACTGAGCTCGGTGCGGAATGCAGCGCCATGTGCCATCAGGCGGCGGCACGCTTTGGCAGCCCGCCCAACAATTTCAACCAATTGGCGTCTTTCGCCTCGACCAAAGCCAATTTGGCGAAAAGCCAGGGAGAATACAGTGTTCTTGAATACAATCCTGAAATTCAGTGGCTTGTGGTTTTTGTGATCCACACGTTGAGGCGAGCCAGCAACTCATGTGGTTCTACTTGTAATGCCAAATTTGCTAACAGCCGCTCTGGCTTCAGCCTGGGACAAAGGCAAGCTTCGGTCTGGCAACGCTTCACAAAGCAGTGCTCTGTTGACGCGTTGACTGTTTGGTTCTACCCAGTCCTCTGTGTAGGCCCTCACTTTCACCCCTAAAGCGTGAATTGAACCTTACACAAATGCTTCTAGGCACTGATAAATCACTCGAATACCAACACTCGAATACCAACACAGAAAGTGGCCGATGGGAGTGCCTAATTTTGACACATCTAGCAATTATCAAGTGTAGGCAGTCTTTCCTGTTTGGACTCGAGTTGCAATCACCCCAACCTCTCCCTCCCTCCGCTTCTTTCTGGCCTTTGGTGAGACACGCGGGCAACAGCCCGGCGATCCCCGGTGCAATGCAAGGGCACTGCCTCCGGCGCTGTGCAAAGATAGGCAAAAGGAATACAATCGGCAACGCTCACAGTTCTTCCTCGGGCCCTTCAATCGTGTGGGTCGAAAATGGCGAAAGCTGGTCCCTCAGCCAACTTGTATCATCTTTGGAGACTGGCCCTGGATCCGTTTGCGTCAATGCACCCCCATAAAGCGCTGCAGCTGACCTTTGCTTGGCAAAAGGAAACACACTCACACACCTCAAGATGACCTGTACAACTGGGTCTCTCAAGCAGGGATATGGACCCTTCGGTTTCTTTCGGGTTTTCGACTCAAAAATACGTACTCGAGAGGCTTTGGGCTGGAGGGAATTGGGGCACAGCTTCACCAAATCGGCCAAGCAGCTCAGGCGGGCGGTCTTCTGCTGAAGCTCACGCTGCAATCGCCCAAGCCTTGCAGCCAGAGCCGTGGCATGCAGCTTGCGAATCCTGAAAGAGACTTGGGTGCGCTTTTGGCGGACTCCATGTTGGCCTCCTTTTTGGTACTCTGTTTTCATTATGATCCTGCAATGGATCAAGAGCCACATCCATATCGTTCCTTAGAGCTAAGCTCGTGACTCTTGGCCCCAGGTTCCGCTCTGCCTGAGTCCGGGCTGAAAGCAAGTCACAAACTATGCGGTTGGAAAATGAATGAAACAAACTTGCTTTCTGTCCAAAGAATGGGACGTCCCGCCATGTCCCTCATAAATTCACCATAGACTGCCGAAAATGTTGACCAAATTTAAAATGATTCGACCTACAACCAATATAGTTTGATTGATGGCTGTGACACAGAAGCCTGAGCGCTAGCTTACTTTCCGGCTCAGACCAGTGATTCTGCCCCAAAAATGATGGCACTACTCCACAGAGCTGCAAGGTTGCTCTCCCAACACCCGAAAATCCCGGTTTTGGTCACAGGAAATCTCCGGCCTGCTCTTGGGCCAAACCGAGGGTAATCCGGCCCTGTGATAATTGTCAAAAATTGTGTGGCTCTTTTCCATAAAAGGCGCAAGTAAATGTGTGCTTCTTGTTCCACAAAGGGCGGCATAAACGGACCTCTAGAAGGGGTCCAAACCAGGAACCTCTCGCAGTCCGAGGCATTTGAGAAATCCTTTCTGGAGTCGGTATCCTTTATGGGATTGTCCCACAGGGAACCAACCCGGAAACACGGAACTTTGGGGGCGGTTCCATTTATACTGTCCCAAAACAGGACGCCTCTGCAAAAAAAGTGGCTTGCCCTGGTTGCCCCTTACAAACCACCCCTAACGAGCGCACACTTAAGACAAACCTCATGTCCTTGCGCGAGAAAATCGCATCGAAGCTTGGTCGCAGGGCTTATGAAGCAGCTGCTCCTCAGCCACTGAACACTGCCGCTCTGCCTCCTCGCGGGTTTTGGCCCTGGTTGCTGCACTTCGAGCAGATTGGGAGAAATTGCTGGTAAACCCACAAAGGAAACCAAGCCGAAATTCGACCCTTGTGCTTGGGGCCTCTTTCAGAGGATCGGAGCAGGCCTGGCCTTATCTTCAAGGGAAAGGAGTGGGTTGGGGAAATGAAGCTAACAGAATTCAGGGTCACCCTCTTCCCTCAATTCCTTTGGGGATGATGCACAAATTGAAGCGCAGTGGCCGGCGTTGCCTCCTTGACCTTTGGCCTGTCTCCTAGACAAATATGTGAACCCTGCTTCCAGAGGACATGGGCCATGGCAAAATTAGGTGGGCCCCTGCTTTCTGTGGAAAATGTGGGTGGCCCCCATGCCCTCCTCAAATCAACAATAGACCACCAATATGTTTGTCACTTGCTCATGATGCAGACCCTCCCAGCATGTTGCACAAAGAAGCGCTCAAACAGTTGCCTCCAGAGTTTGAGCGGCCAAACGTGTCAACACTAGGGCCCCATGGTATCCATGTAGAAAAGTATCCTAACAAAAAGCCCACCATTTGGCGTGGCCCCGACATATTGACACATTGCAAAGTTTGTGCACATCCATTTCCACAGGGTCTAAGGCAGAACTGGCAGTATTCACGGGAACGAACGGAAGAATTGTACTCCAGCGGACAACTAGACCAAGGGAAACTTTGCAATGATCCTCTACCAACCCATGGAATTTGTTGAGGCATTGGAGACAGCTATCCTTTTCGTTTGCAAACTTACTGAAAATAGGAGGATCAGGCTTTCAATCGTCGCTAAAAGTTTCTCGATGGACAGTACTGCCAAAAAGGCATCTTACAATAATGGCCTCTCAGTTGTTTGGTTCCCGGCACACAGTTAGGAATTGCGCATATGCTGGAACTCCGATTTGGATCCTTCCAGCAACTTTTGCCTCGGTTTTTCTTCAGGAACACCCTCTCCCAGAGGGTACCTTGTACATCACGGGCCCATGGCCCCCCTTGGTCCTCGCAGCGAAGCTGCGCAGCAGTCATGGCCTCAGCCAAGCAACGCGGATAGATGCGGAAAAATCGATTTGGAATTGGAAATCTAGGAACACCTAACCAAATTTCTACCCGTGAGGTTTGGTCCTTTTTGGAGCAATCCCGCAAAATAAAACGCTGCACATCCTTGTACAAAGTCAGGCCTTGATTGCGTAAGCATCCCTTCAAGACAGAATCCCTCTTAAGCAAATTGAACCATGGCAATGGAAGGCGTCCTGCCATTGGCACTGACGAATGTCATCATGGCAGGATTTCCGGCCACGTGGAAATTGCTGCGTACAGCTAAGCAAGTTGCCAAGAACACTCAAAGCTATTCACGGACTCACACAAAACAAGCAGGTCGAGACTCCAAGCGTTGCACGTCACTCTCAGCAAGTTCGTGCTGCCAGGCAAAACCTCCCTTCTTGTTTCATAGGTGTACTTCCTCAGCTCCACCGCAATGTTTAGCGCGCTGAGTCTCGTGGCCTAAGTGCCCAACCTGCATGGCATCTTCCAGCAGATCGGCTCCTCAGAGCAGTCACGCATCTCTGCCTACAGCTATGGGAAACTGAGGGCCCGGCTGGCAGGTGCAGACTTAGAAGCTCTGGCGGCTCTGGGAATTTTTGCTGCACTCTTCCGGTCCCTCGTTGCGGTTGACGGTGCCACATCCTCACTTTGGGTCCTGCTACGCATGCAGACAAATGATGGCCTAAGCGCGTGATGTTGCAACGCAAGGAATTGATTGGAGGACTCTCTTCCGGGGTTCCGGTTACGTTTCAGGGCATGCCTGTCATCAACTCCTGGGATCAAGTTCAGCAACCGGAGAAGATATTGGCCCTGGTAGCAGGCAATCAGCTTGTACCCCCTACGCACAGGGATCAACACCTGGGTCTTGGACCTGGCTGTTCAAAACAGTGTCTTAGTCAATCCCAATTTGTAACTTGTGTGGGGATCCCACTACAAACAGAACCCCTGTTGAACCCAAGAAACGAATGAAAGACTGCCTGCAAATAACCCAAAGAGTGCTGCGGGTGCAAGCTCACCCCTTCCTGCGCGAGTGCAGCTCAATCTCTGCCAGCAACTCCATGGCTTGCTGCGTCCTGACCATGCACCTATCCCCGAGAAACCCCGCAGCTCACGCTTGTGTTGGCTATGACTCTTAATCAGGACCTTTTGTATTCTTAAACTGCAAACTGTGGTGGTGGACTTCAGACATACATCGGGATGTCATGCTACCAACAAGTTGTGAGGAGAGCGCCCATAGATTTACTGCCAGGTTCAACCACCTGCTCAAGCGCATGCTGAAGCACGGCACGTCACCCGCGTAGTCGTCAACTGGAATTAGGGTGGCTGCTCCCAGGTCAGCCAGGAGTGAGCCCTCCATACACAGAGAACCCGTGGATTCCAATGGTAGTTGCGAGCCAGCCGTTGGTGCTTGCCGGGCGCTGAATTTTGCCTTAACTTGCAAGTCAACCTCTTAAGGGCATCCAACACGTCAGCAAGAGGATGCTTCCCAGGTTTCAATGCCCCTACCAGTGGCATATGCACCTTTCTTTCCTTCCCAACACGGGCCCACATACTTTGAGGGGCGTGGTCGGGCAAAAAAACAAAGCACTACTTAGAGATTCTGAAAGCAGCGCGTCAATGCCGAGATCTATTAAGCCTTGGTCACCATGACGGCCATGACGAGGCAGGCCATCCATGGGAAGTTGTTTGCGATTGTGACCAACCCGCGAGTTCCAAGCTCAAACTCTGAAGCGCTCCACGCCCTGGACCCGCAAACTTGTCTGGGGGAATCAACGCTCCCATTGAAACAATCAAGCAGCACTGATGACCTGCCCCACGGTTTAGGCGTCTTTTTACAGCTTTGGACAGAAAACATCTACACAAAGGTGTTTTCAAATTCATGTTTGCAGTTTTTGCTGTCAACATCCAGTTTGTAGGTAACCTCATTTACCAGACAAAATACACCATCCATTTTTCCCTGCACAGGGCCCTGCAAAATCGACGCCTCTGAAAGACCGCTTTTGCCAGGCGCGCGGCTTCCAGGGGCGGCACCTGGCGCGTGCGACA